GCCAATTTTTTTTCTGCCAGTAAGGAGGAATGCAGGAATGGAGCTGGTTGCTTCCCAGCTCCTGCCTGGCTTACCCTTCCTTCCCCTGGCCCCCTGGCCATTGAATGGCTATGGAATGGCCAATCTACAGATAGGTAAATCAAGTGCATGGCAGGAATTTACTGTAAATATAGCCAGTGGAACTTTATGATTTGCTAGTGCAATGCAATACAGGTCTGGCCTTTGTTTAACTGGACATGCTACCTTTGCTATATATTCAGTCCTTGTTTCCCCCATGTCAGTCATCTGCAAAAAGGGGTTTGCTTTCAAAAAATACCCCTACCCCTACCTGAAAGTCCTAAAATGGCATATAATCTTTAAACTTTAATCCCTAAAATGGCATGTTATCTTTAAATTCAAGCAACCAGAAAGTTTAACTGGCATTCAAGGATACTTTGGTGAGTTCAAAAGCAAAGTGGGGATTCTTTCACAAGAGTTGAATGATTTGTAGCATACGCAGTTGGAAATGTATACTTGCTCATTACTAAAGTTATATTTTGAAAAGAAAAAAAGAAAAGAAAAGAAAGAACACTTTAATATAAGGATATTAATATGTGGAAATGTACTCTACCCATGGTGTTCCTAGACATTGGACTGCTGGAGGCTCAGAGTGAGTGATGGGAAATGGAAAGTTACATCACTCTGGACATTCTGGGGACTGAATGGGCCAGTGGTGTTAACAGTAGGGTGTCCTTTCATGTATTCTCTGATCACAGACAATTGATTCCTCTGCACAGGGGAAACATATATTTTGGAGGCACTGCCCACTCTTAATCCTGATTAAAAACAGCTGGAATTATAGCTATTAAGTATATGCAAACATCAGCCCCATAGCGTACAGCTCATTTCAGAGACAGACCCAGATGAACTAAAATGCAGGGGCGGAATATCCTCAGATTCGGATTACTTCAGATGACAATTGATAGTGCCCTTGGGTAAGAGCTCAGTATCATTTGCTCATTTAAATATATACAAAATTTATATCATTTGAATGTCCATATTAAGATTTTATAGCATACATTTTGTATGTCATTATTTTGTGTCATATTAAAGTGACTAATATACCTAATGTTGCTTTTGCTTATAACATTGAGCCAGGAAAAACTTTAAAGTGCATGGATATTAGTAGGATATCCATGCATTTTTTGGCATGTATAAGACTTTTAAAGAGTTGGTGACAAAGGCTGCACCTGCACTGCAGAAATAATGTGATCTCACATCACTTTAACTGCCATGGCTCAATGTTATGGAATTGTGGGAGCTGGGAACAAACTACAATGGCAGTTGTTGCCAAACTGGATTATTTCTGCAATGTGGATGCAGCCTAAGTGTACTTCTAGAAGTTACCTGTTATATTTATCCAACATATCACACATTCTTCATTGTGCTTACTTTTTGCTTGTTCTAAAATTACCCTGTTAACCCCTTTGTTCATGAGCCAGCATGGTGTAGTGGTTTGAGCTTGTCTATAACTAAGGTTGAAATGAAGGCACATAGCAACAACTCTCTTTCAATCATGCAGAATGATGCCTTCATTATCCCTGACAGCATACCCAGTGAGATTATGGGTAGATTGTGAGAGTTGTATATTAAAAAAGAAAAAAAAAACTTTTCTAAATTCTAGAGAAAAGTTGTTCTGAAGCTGCATTAGGGACAGATTGTAGAAGGATTTGATGAAGCCAAAGCCCTCTTGCTCCTTGGACATGGGAGGGAAAAACTATTGTTCTGAGCACTGAACATCTTCCAATTTGGGATGTGCATGCTTTTTTGCTATGGCCATAGATGGAACTGCAGATGAGCTGCCATGAATCCAAAAGCAGGTAGACCACATACACAAAGCATCAATTTACAGATCAAACAGCTAGTTTTAGGAATTGTGATCAGGAAACATTCACACTTTTTCAAAGCAGAAAGGCTAGGTAATTTATGGCCCAGGATGTTTTCTGCCAGGGCTAGGAAAAACCTATTCTCACCTTTGAATCTATCTATATCAAGTAATTTTTGCTAGTAAATTCAACATCTTTTGAAGTGTAGAAAACAATTTTTGCCTAAGCCTGGTTTTAGCCTATTTAAGGACCTCCAAATTCTTTATTCAATGTGCTGGTTGAAATTCATGGTGACTCCATGTCACTTTGAATCTTGACTCAGTTCTGGCTCACTGTCACTTCTCCATCCCATTCACACGACCAAGTCCAACACATCATCAGATCATTTTGGAGCAGTCTCATTCAGGTAATTATCACTGTTAGAAGGCCTCTTGTCTATTCCAGTGCTAACTACTTTATTCCTAAGTTTTTGTGAAAATGCATGAGTGAGTGGTTGTCTTAATGTGTGTATTTCCAATAAATTTGCCATTCATTTGAAGATAATTTGCCTCTGTCAATTTACTGTCCCTAGCTCCCTCAGTATACATTGAGATGTATCCTGGCTAATTAATTGAGCTAATTAAAATTCCCCTGGTTCAAGGACACATAATACTATACCCACCCTGGAGTGTGGTTGTTATTACCCCTACCATGGTAGAAAGAAAGAAAGAAAGAAAGAAAGAAAGAAAGAAAGAAAGAAAGAAAGAAAGAAAGAGAAAGAAAGAGTGAGTCAACCATTTAGAACAAAAGAGAAAATTAAAACAAAGTGCACACCCATTCAGGGAGCACAGAACTATGGTTACAGTGCTGAAGTCTCAACATTGGCAAACAAGTTGTTATTAATTGTCCTTACTTGCAGATATATACAAGAAAATGGCAAATTACTTTCCATATCTCTTGTCATTTAAGCATCCTTAAATATAAATACTCTTAGAAGCATGAAATTTACTTAAGATGTGCCCTCCATGTGGTCAGTGTATCTTCATCCAAGTAAGTGTACATAGGGCCAAATGAAGCAGTTCCCCCATCCCTCACGGCAACCTGTGTACACAACACAGGGCCAAATCCCTGATTTTAGTGTACACTCTCTTCATGATGTAAGGCCAGTTCTACACCAAAGCTGTGCCATGCCAGCCTGAAATCAGATTAAAATAATTTGTTTGTTCCAGATTTTGAAGGAAAAGCTGGAGTACTCTGTAGTGACACTGAATGGCTGTCAACACAAACATCCCACTTTGTTGTCTGGTTCTGCTGCCACAGGCACCAGTTGCCCAGCCATGGGATTGATGCTGGGTGCCTCATAACTGACCTCAGAGGGAGTGACCTGAGGTAGGCAGTGGACAACACAGCAGAATGTTACTGTAGACAACTGCCCAGCATCACTAAGGAGGTTGGAGGTAATGGGGAGGGGTGGGAATCTGGGGTAGTTCCAGGACCAGAATACCCTGGGAGAAGCTTGGAGTATTCTTGCCAGTGTAGACAAACCCTATGATAGATTGTGGGCAGTTTTTATTCTTGGTGGGGCTAAAACAACAACTGTCTTAATATATTTTAGTGTCTGATCATTTAGGAAACCTCTGATTGATAATTTCTGAAGAGACTCAACTACATAGGGAGTTTGGTGATCTAATTTTACTAGAGCATTTTGGGGGAAGAGCCTCCCCATCCCAGCCTAGTCTTACAGGGAGCTCATGCCCCCATCCTCCATGTTCTGGGCTCCATGTGCCCATTCCTTATGCCTTGACCAGCAAAAGATTGACAGGTTTAGGAAGTACTGATTCATTTGCCACACACTTTATCCCTCACCTGACCTCCAGAAGATTGCTCTGCCTAATAGATAATGAATTGGATCCACTGTTCCAGTTTAATGTTTTATGTTTTAATTAAAGTTATTTCTAAAGACACTGAGTCACCTTTGAAGGAAGAGTATCATTAGATAATATCTTGATGAAGATAACATTAATGCATAGCTATAATAAAGCCTTTTAAAGCATTTAAAAAGTTTTCTCCTTCGGGCATAGAGCATTTCCAGTACATTATTTGGTATATTTCTAATTTGCCCTTTGAATCACTCCTTTTCAGATCTTCCACAAACAACTGATACTTTGTTAGGTATGTTTTCTTGGAATGACAGGCCCACAATTTTCTCTCTCTCCTAACAAGTGCAGCTTTTTACCTTCCAAAGAGACTTTTCAAGCCTACATTCTCCATCTTGGAAATGAATTTAATTGTACAACTCATGGCTAAAATTGTTAGGATTGGGTCCCAAGGGAAAATGTACATTGTAGGATAGTGCAGCAGCCATGATGACACAACATTTGGCCATAGTTGAGTCATGCAGCCTCATGCTGATGTCACAGGACATGACATCATGGGGGTAGTCACCTGGTGCTGGAAAGCACAGAAACTGATGCAAAACTGCAGTGTCACTCAGGTGAGTGATAGGTGTCCAGGAGGAAGAGACAGGGCCAGAAAGCCATGTGGAGCACAGACTATATAAGGCACAAGCCTCTGGACACACATGTGGAGTGTTGTCTGTGGTTGTGGGTTACTGATGGTGGATTGCGTATTGTTGTTTTGCTGTTGGAGTTGCATTGATGTATGCTGTACATATCTGTATACAGAACAACAAAGATTAAAGCCTCATTCGTGAGATGTCTGGCTGTAGAGTCTCTATCTGGAAGGGGAGAGGAGTTTCTCCAGCTGACAAGCAGCCTGCTTCATCGGAGAAGTCTGGATCCTGGTGCTTCACTTTACATGGTCTCCACGCGCTGTGCTACCATGCCTAACAAAAATATCTACCCAGATTTCTGGACTCCCATGCGTGGCTTACCCTGCTCCAGTTTTTTATTACTTAGCCTTGATGAGGACATTCGCTAAGCTCAAAAGCTTGCAACATTCTCATGGATCTATATTTGCCCTTAAAATAAAGGTACTTATTGACATTCTGTATTGCAGTTACAGATTCATAAAGTTTATTGTTATTGCTGCTGTTGTTGTTTGTCTGCAAGCAATTTCTGAGTTACGGTGAACCTAAGACGAACATATCATGAGGTTTTCTGCAGCTGAGAATGGGTGATTTAGGTGGGCTTTCTATGGTTGAGCAGGGAATCAAACCCTGATCTCCAGAGTTTTAGTCGAACACTTAATCCACTATACCACACTGGCTCCGTAGAGTTACTCTGTAGAATTATATATCTATAATTGCTCTGTATTCAGTAAAACTACATAGTCTTACTGTAAGACTACATAAATGACTCCTGGCACACCTTAACAACCAGCAGCCAAATTGAGTGAAGGAAGACTGTTCACATTGGGTGAAAGGAGGATGACATTTTACCAGCAAACAAAGTTGCCACGAGGAATTACAACTGGGGTCTTGCTTCTAATTGTTGCAGTCTCACTAACTGGTGATATAGGGCTAGAAACCTTCTCCTTTTTGTGCATTGACTGACAGCTGAACATACTTTTGTCTAGTTTGGCTTCTGACTAAATAACTAACTTTCTGATTTAAAATATCAGCAATTGTCCATTGTAGATTTTGCACTAATAATTATATGACTTCACATCTGAGAGAAATTGTGCATTAATGTTTCCTCACAGACCCCTGTCCTGAAAGAAAAAATCTTTTTATAATGCAGATTCCACAATTCATTGGATTTTTTGGAACTGTGCAACCATGGTTATTCTTTCATTCTGGTGCTGCTTGCCTTAAAGTGTAAATTGCACTGCTTGTTCTTTTCCCCAAAGAATGAGTGATCAACATGGTAAATGATAGTGTTGTAATTATCTTTGATTGACAACTATGCTAACTTTAAGAAAATAAAGTAGATGTTGATTACCAATCACTAATGTAGTGTTTTCATGTAGAGCCATAATTCCACTCATGAATATACATTAATCTCATGCACGATGGGTTATCTTTATCTACAAATGAAAGACATTAACAAAAAATTACATTCAGCAAGAACATTTAAAAAAAAACCTGAAAATGGGAAGATGGGATTGCTCAAGCTTTTTGAAACAAAACCAGTGATTTTGTTTTGTATGTGTGTGTGGTTGTTTTGGGTTTGTTTGTTTGTTTGCATCAACTCAGTGTGTCTTTTTTAAAAAAAAATTATTAATGAAGTAAAATTACAGAATAAAAAGAGTAATAGTAAAAAAGTACATGTGATTTTATCATAGAAAATCATATAAGAAAAATTATGTAGAATAAAACACTAGAACAAATAAAATAAGTTATGAAATAATAAAAAAGGGGGAAGAAAGAAAGAAAAAATATATATAACTAATATTAACCCCCTTAATCCCCTCACCATAGTGCAATATTTGGCTTCTCACTCATCTAATTAATAGTTCAATATATAGTATTGTTGCTCCTTCATCAGAAAAAAGAGAAAGAAAGAAAGAAAGAAAATAAATAATAAATAGAATTAAATAAGAAAAATAAAAAAAAAACATAAAGGAGTCATATTAATACTGTTACCTCCTTTTCTTCTTCCTCTCCTACCAATCTATAATTTAAATACCAATATTACTATGTCTTCCCTTAACTCTTTAACATAATCCTTAAATGGTTTCCAGATCATTATAAAATCTTCCAAGTCCTTGCCATTTACTAAACTAGTTAATTTTGCTATTTCAGCGAGGCCCATCATCTTTTCCATCCACTCTAGAATATCAAGTGTTTCTTTTTTATTCTAATTCTTAGCATAGATTAGCCTTGCAGCTGTAACCATATAATACAATAGAGTTTTATATCTTCTTTAAACCTTATTTTCATAATCAATCATATTTAACAAAAGTAATTCAGGTCTAAACACTATGTCTTTCCCCAAGATCATTTGAATAACAAAAAATAATGTTCATCTAATAGTTTTTAGCTTTTTTACATGTCCACCAAAATGTTCCAATATTCTGATGACATATTCAGCATTTATCCATAGTTCCTTTATACATTTTAGCTAATCTATCAGGGGTCATGTACCACCTGAAAAACATTTTGTAGTAATTTTCCTTCAGGTCATAGCTGATGTAAATTTCAATTCTCTAGTCCAAATCCTTTCCATTGACTCATCATAATATTATCTCCTAAATTTTTGGTCCATTGAATCATGCATTCTTTAATCTGATCCTTTTCTGTATTAAATAATAATAATAATAATAATAATAATAATAATAATAAT